AACAGTTGAGAACGATGTGCCCCGGTATGTTCAGGTTCGCGCACTTCGTTTGCCACCATCAGCTCTTGCGGTTTTCTGCGGCGACAACAGCAACGAGACCACAAGCAGTTTTCCACCGTGGAGCCACCAGATCAAGGCGAACATGTCCAGTCTACAAGCCTTCTTCCGAATATCGTGGCCCCTGCAATTGTGCCGCTCACGGTGTCGCTGTCACTGCAGTGGCCAGACTTCATCAGCACTCACTCGCTGACGTCGCAGTCAGTGACGTCAGTCGCAACAGCCCAGTCGTCACCACCAACATCGCTTGGAGAGGTGCAGCTGCAGCCAGCAACGACGAGCTTGCCTGCTCTACCCACTCACACCCCCGTTGGTGATACTGCCAAGTCTGCGGGTAAGCTCGCAAGAAAGGGAAAATTGAACACCAAAGAGCAAACGAAGCGCACTAGAGGACCAACAAAATGATTGAGGAGCTGCTGCACTTCCGCTTTTCGGACGGAGACGTGAAGCGTCATCTCGAGACCGCCGACACGAAGACCAAAAAGACTCTGGCCTGGCAATTATTTGCCAGTGTGCTGTCAGATTCTCTGGGCATGGTACTCAACCACGAGCAGGTAGGCCTAAACTCTCACGCGTACGGTACTGCGCTCTAACTCTTTTGTGTGGTATGGGCAGGTTTCTCTGAAATATCGGAAGCTGAAGTGCATCTACAGGAAAGAAAAGCGTGAGATGCAGAAGACCGGAAACAACCCACGCGCTACTGAAATGGACGAAGGCTTGTGGGCGATTCTGAATGACACATTTGGGGGTTGTGTAGGTATTAGTGGCGAGATGCTGTTAGACTCGACTGTACCTGAAGAAGATAATGAGGACGCCGATTCGTCTTCTGCGAAAGACGACACTACGTCCTAACAAAAGCCTCCACCAGTCGTGCAACTTGCGACAGCGTTGCAGGGTGGAATGGAGGCGATTGCAGCATCGCTAGGCTCTCGCTCCTCTTCCGAAGGTCAGATCCAATCGCTAACAGCTACGTTACAGTAGCATCATGAAGAGACGCGGCGTTTCCAAGAGATGCAGCTTCAACTACTGCGTGAAGTGTTGAGACAGCGCCACAACTAGCTCAATTCACATTAACGCTTGTAATTTTTGCTAACAACCGTAATGTTCAAACAGCTAAGTCCTCACCATAATGCCTGCTATGTCGTTGCGCTTTGAAATGCCTTGCTTGTGACAGATGACCTGCTCGCGATCATGCAGGTCTTCCTCAGGCGGAGTTGACGCTTCAGGTAGCAGAGGATCTGCTCCTTCGACTTGTACTCCATCTTTTACCAGCACCAGCAAGTTGTGCAAAACAGTGCAATCTAGAACAACCTTGCAAACGCGCTCTGCAGCCTTCTGTTCTAGCTTACCTAGCACAATCCTGAAGCGTTTTTTTAGACGACCAAAAGCACACTCGATAATGATGCGAGTGTTAGAGTGTAGGTAATTGTACAACCGTTTCCAACGATCTTGTAAAGCTTCTCCTTCAGGAAACGGAGTAAGCAGATGCCCCCAGATCTTGTAGCCCGCATCACCCAACAGGTGCATTCCTGGTGGAACGTAGCTTGCAATTCTATAGCAAAACGTAAGATCCAGAGTTAATAAATATGGTACCAGTAACGTTAAAGAAAAACTTACCGTCTCCGCACTCCAGAACCATTCCAGAGAGACTGGTCGTTGTTGGATCCCGAGCGAATAAAATCGAACGGAACAAACCACTGTGATCAACCACGGCTTGTACGTGGACGGCAGGGAAAAGTTTACGGCAGTACCATCCCTCGAAATCGTGAGGGTGCGAGATGCGGATGAGCGTACCGTCGACTGCACCAATCGTGCCGGGGAACCCAGCTACATTGAAGAAGCCACCCTCAATCGAGGGCACTTCCTCGGTTGTGGGCATCACAACGAACCGTGTTGCCATGGCACTGAGCACATCCAGGGTGTCGTTAATGTAGACCACAACACGAGGCCTGAATATGCCCATTGCCGTGGCCGCTTGGTCCATAGTACCCCCTGGGCTAAGTACATCATCTGTAGTGCCACACGCTTAATGACGGGGTTCTTGGTGTTCGGACCGGGCTCACAAGCCCACGCAGCATGTGCCAACTCGTATATTCGCAAGAACGACTCCTTATCACAGCGTAGCTTCTTGTGGAACCACGCCGTTCCTGGTGTTCGCTGTGCTGTCTCGAATGCGCGCACTTCAAAAGTCATCGGTGCCGTGGGGGGCCGCCGAATGCCCCGCTTGTCTGCTACAGCGACTACTGCGCTCACGCATGCTCCCAACACTACAGCTAATACTGCAGCTGTGACGTCGTCCATGGCACAGGTGTGCTGCGACTACATGTAGAACACTTGGTGGAGGTGTGTCCAGGTGGAACGTGAACTGCCCCTAGTGGTACAGTGTACTAGCATAATTTTGACCAGTAAATGCTACTTTGAAACTCAGGTTCTCTACGCCTAATAATCCTGGCCTCCAACGGTTTCTAAATATCCTCATAATTATTTTACGAAAAAAAAGCACCAGTATTTTCATTGCTGATAGGAACTGATAGATTGGTTTTGGTGCCAAAACAGGTGTGCACGTTCGACTTACCACAGTAGTACGCCAAGGTATAGGCGCAAAAAACGGCGAGTCAAGGGTTTATCATTAGAAGATGTACTGGCGAGAAATGTTTAATGCCAATTGTAGCTAGTGCAAGATACTACGAGTAGTGGAGCTTACGCTGGACTATGAGGCTTCGGCTAATTGTAAACCACGTTCGCGTACCGTTTTCTTTTTCTCGTAACATTTGCTTCAGCCTTAAAAGGCGGCCTTGATTTTATTTTGTCGAGGAATGTACGCAACAGCTCTGCTGTTCTTTCTTTCGATGTCCCAAGTTTCTTAACCACGAATGCTGGCACTTTTCCATCCGTTACCCATTTGTCAAGAAGAGCATTCCTGACATAGGTAGCCATTTCCTCCATCCCTGGGCTCTGCTCTGCCCGTTTGATCAATTTGGATAGCACCTGGTCGTCAAGGTAAGTCGTGAGTGTATCAATAGCTGGATTGGTCTTAAGTTTCGGATGCTCTTTCTTGAAAACTTTCGTGAACGTGAGCCAAGTGCCAAACCTTGGGTCCGTGAAGGTTGTATCCCCTGCCTTATCGAGCGTGAGCAATTTGAAGGCTTCGTCTGGGGTCATTTCTCTGCCCATCATGTTCGAGATGTACGCTGAGGTTTTCTTGTTTTCCACCCATTTAGCGAACAGAGCTTTCTCAAAGTAATCGGACCTGATTTTCGTGTGTGCGGCTTCCTTGGACGCCTTAATAATTCGCACTAAAGCCTCATCACTGTAATAAACTGCAAGTGTATCAATAACGGGTATCGTATTTGTGCGAGGATTCGCTTTCTTGAAATTCATTGAGTACTCCAACCAGGCCTTGAATTGTGGACTGGCAAACAAGTTATCTCCCTGTGTGTCGAGCGCTAAGAACTGGAAGACTGTTTGTGGGGGCACTCCACCGTCCAACCAGGCGTGAAGCTGTTTATTTTGGAAGGATGTAGCTATCTTCTCAGATTTCGGGGAATTCTGTGCTGCACGGACTAGCTGGGACACCGCCACGTCTGGGTCAATCTTGTGGAATGCATTGAAGCTCACAGAACGAGATATCTTCTCAACCACCGGGACTGAATTCATGCTGGTCATCCTCTCTTCATCGTTCTCCTTGGCGATGTTGCGGATCCTCAAGAATCTGTTGGTGGAGAGTTCAGTCCCCGTGATTGCGATGATCCGTGCGAGCAGTACGGCGATTCCCAACAGTACACCGCCATTCAGATGCATAGTTTGGGTGCACCGTTACTAGTATTTCGGAAATACGAAAACGTACAGTGGGTGCGTTTCTGTATTGGTCTCTCCGAGAGACTCTCTCGTGGCCCACGCTCACGAGTCGTGGCGACCGACTCGTTCGCATTACAGGATTACGTACGTAACAATGAATACATGTATGGTTACCAACGTACGTAAACAATGACGTACAGTCAGGGGTTATTAATAATGGTACTGTAACCAGGGGCTAATGGTAACCAAATATCATATGATATTTTTGATAGTAATAGTACTATTTTCGATATTAAATAGTAATACTAACTTATTTTTGCAAAAGCTAACATAATATTTTTATATTAACTCGGAGAACTGAAAAATATTAGATACTACATGATATTTTATGATATTTTCCCACTTAAGTACGTTTCTTGCCAGCTTACCTCTGTGAACCGAGCGGAGCCAAATAACTTTTTCGATCAGGTTCTAGAAAAGCAGTAGGCTTTAAGACTGACGAGTATTTGCTCTAGTATATCACTGTGACACAGACAAAGGCGATCAAGATGGAAAACTGCAAACGCTTGCAGCTGTTTGACGTTGATAGAGCGAAATCAAGACATTTGTTCTTGTTCTCTACCGATCTCCTCGTCGACATCGTGCGTCTAATAAACCTACTGCCTGTGGCGCTAGATTAATGCGCTCAGCAGTGCCAACACACAACGCCAACCTTGCCGTCACCCCGGTACTCACGGTTGATTAGTAATACTTCAGCTAGTCGAGCGTTAACGACATCTGATTGGTTAATGTAGCCCGACTACGCAGTCATTGAAAAATATAATGTCGTATTAGCTAATATTAAGTTGATATTTGATAATATCATATTGTCTCAGAGGAAAATATTAGATGATATTTTTATATTAGCTGGTCTACAGGTGATATTTTCACAATATTAACTTCACCGATTTTAGTTTACCATTAACCCCTAACTGTAACTCCAAAATCGGTGAAGTTAATGTCAATATAGTGATAGTATCACCTGGTATAATAGACGAGTTTATATACGAAAAATTACCTAGTAATTTTTATTTAAAATACATAATATTATTAAATATCAACTTAATATTCGCTACAACGATATTAAATGTCTTCAAGATTGCGTCATCGGCTCCAATCCACCAATAATATGTCGTTGAAGTTCGACTAGCTGAATTAATACTAATCAACAGTGAGTCTGGGACAATTGTGAGAGTGACGGCAAGGTTGGCGCTGTGTGTTGGCACTGCAGAGCGCATTAATCTAACTTCACAGGCTGCAGGTTGATGAGACGCACGATCTGGACGAGGCTATCGGCAGAGAACAAGAGCAATACCTTGATTTCGCTCTATCGACTTCAAACAACTGCAACCGCTTACAGTTTTCATTCTCGATCGGCTTTGTCTGTGTCACGGTGAAATGCTAGAGCAAATACTAGTCAGTTAAAAAGCCTGTCATCACTACTGCTGTTTTAGAACCTGACCGAAAGTCAGCAAGGTGACAAGAAATATACTTAAGTGGGAAAATATCATAAATTATCAGCAAAAAAGTCATGACTTAGTCCTGACCTTGTGACCTGGTATCCGCTGGTAGCGGCAAGAATCGGCTGTTATCTTGAAGATATCACGATTAGGTCCTGACCTAATTCAGGGAATTCTATTGGTCATAAAGCAAACCAAATATTGTTGACGTCAAGTCCCAGCTTGTGGCAGCACGCATGCGACGGGAGTGCCGGCTTTTCCGTCTATGCAAGATGTTGGCAAGGAGACGGAGACGGACTTCGCGACGTTCAAGGCCATGACGTCGGAGGTGACACTGGTGCCTGCTATTGAAGAGTCGGGCTGGCTCAGAATTCCACGAAGCTCACGGACTGAGACGTCGCTGGTCGAGGGCATCCGAGAGGTGGTCAAAAGTGGAGTCTACTTATACGATAGTGACGGTGGGAGTAGCGTCTACAAGGGATGCGTGAGATGACGTCTTCTCTGCACATTGAAGAGACGCCGGAGCTGACCAAAGCGTCGTGCCGACTTCCGACT